TGAGGCAGGTATCTACTAACGAGGCACTGGCACAGGTTGCCCAGACAGGTGGTGGCTGCCCCTATCTATGGAGACACCCAAAGTCAGGCTGGATGGGGCTCTGAGCACCTGATGGAGCTGTAGGTGTTCATTGCAGGAGGTTGGACCAGACAGCCTTCAAGGGGCTCTTCTAACTCCAACAATTCTCTGTCTGCTGGAGTTTAAGGATCCCCAGTGCAGGTGTTCCCATTTGGTGATTCAGCTGGGGCTCCCCTCGTCAGTGATGGAGAGAAGCAAAATCTGGAACTCTCTCACATGCCCGTCCTCCTCTTCTTCTGCTGATTGTAAGGAGGGACCAGGCAGCTCAAGGCCAGCAAAAGCCCCATGCAATGTGGTCACCACCCATGGAGAAATCCCAGCGTTCCTTCCTGATCACACTGGGAATGCAGGCAAAGCACCTTCCCTATCTACATCCCCTGGGTCTCCACCCTCAACGCAGGGCTCACCGTATGGAAAAGCACTTAAAAATTTGCAGGTGAGATTCCTCAGCTGCTGGGCTGGGCTGCGAGAGGAGGAGGAGGTGAGGAAGGACACCCATGTGTACATGGGCTTGTGTACGGATGGTGGCTTTTGTCACCAGCAGCAGCTTTCATCCCAGGCAAAGATTACATTTAACTCCCAGGGGTCTTTGCTTCCTCAGATCCTTTTCAGCCACTGTAGCACTGCAGATAGTTTTGGGTGTCCTTTCATTTTTTATATATATATTTTTTGACAGTATTAAATATATACTCCAGCGAGCCATAAATCAGTGGTTTATCAGAGAATAAATCGTATCTATAATAAGGGACCACTTCTTTTTAATTGGACAATGCATTAAATTAAAGATATACTTCCTCAAAGAATACAAAAACGTGTCAGCTAGCCTTCTTTAATGAATTTTAATTTTAAACCACCTTTTCTTTGAGAGAAAAGCTATTTTTCCCCTCTCCAGTAAAATTATATTCTAACCCAAGGATTTGCTGAGTGTTATGGGCTATTGTATTTGCACCACTTTATCTTTCCTTCCTACAGCAACAGAGCATCCTTAAGTACAGGCTCAAATTGGGTTGTGTTGTGTTTCTGTTAGCAAATGGATCTTTGTGCATGCAGGAGATGTCTGCATGCGCATGGATGTGCATTTGTGTGCAAACAGGGCACATCTCCAACGTATTCGGTTGCAGGATTTAATATTATTTCAAACTTCTTTCCCTTGGTGGCCTTGGAGCAGGGATCTTTTTGTTTGTTCGCTTGTTTGTTCGTTCTTTTGCTTTGAATTGCTCAGCAGTGCGTTGAAAATTCTGTATCCTTGTCATCTTCATTCATACCTGCCATAATATGACTGTTGCTGGGTGCCACCGTTTGCCTTGGATAGCTGTGAAACCAATAGCTTTTTGTTCTCTTCCGCCTCTATGCCAATTTCTGGAGTTGCCAAATGAAGGCTTTTGCCCAGGTCTGTGTATTTCTAATAAAAATTACTCATTGTTCTACAACTTAAAACATGAGATAGGGCTGCATGGTCATCGTCGTACATAGTGCGTTAAGCCACGAAGCTACGCAGTACATGCTTCTTCCTGCAAAAAAACAGAAGGCACCTTTTGTTCTTTTTCCCCAACAAAAATCTTCAGAATCACAAAATAAAATCCCCCAGAGAGAGTTTGGGGAGATGTTTTGTTTGAGTGCCCATAGGCTAGATAGATTGGTCAAATGAAATCAAAGCATTGAGAGGCATCTTCTCCAAGGAGCACCTGCCATCTCTTCCAATTGATACCTATTGCAACTGCCAGGACGTGCCTGGGTGCTGACATCTACTTCTATTAGCAGCTTTCATATCAACCAATGTGCCTGCAGAACAGCTTGGGGAGAAGAAAATGGCTCTCCACAGATCTGCTGTGGTGAATATTGTGTGTTTTATTCTGGTACGAGCCAGCTGCAGTTCCCTGTGTTGGGAAAATCCCATGCAAATGTGGGTAATGTGAGTACAATAACAAGGATATAACACAGCAGTATGTAGGGAGTGGTATGCCATCTAGTGTGTTAATAAAGCAGTTATTTACCTGCTTGGCTCAGAGCAATATATTCTTCTGCTCTGTGTTGTTTAACAAGGCTGACTTCAGGTTTGGTGTTTTAGTGTTTTAATAATTAGCTTAGGCTGAACAGATAATATGTCAGGTGGCTCATCTGCTTTACTCCTTGGCACAAGAGCCCTGGAGCTGCATGGGGAACCATGAAACCTGGTGTCAGAGTGGGGTTTGCTCCCCATTTCAGCGAGCAGCGCCACACACCAGCAGAGAAGTTAAGGCAAAATGATGCAGAACACCCTGTCTTCTTCTTTCCCATAGTGACATCCACCATCAGTTTCCCTATCCAGAACCACCCCCCATTGCTCTGCTATCACCACCAGACCCTAAGGGGAAGCTACCCATGGGAGCAAGACCTTTGGGGTCGGTGAGGCCCATCAAAGCGATGAGGCAGCCCTCACAGGAGTGCAGAGGGGGGATAGAGGACAACCCAGAGCCCTGAGGAAGGTCGGCAGCCCATCATTTCTCTGCAACAGGCTGGGGTTGGAGGGCGACCACCTCCTGGAGAAGGTGGGAGGGAAATGGGGACGTGAGAGCCTGCCCTGGCACGTGGGCAGCACGGCCGTAGGGTGTGATGTGCTCTTGGATTTTATTTAAATCAGTAAGACGGGAGGACAGTTCAGAGCATGGATTAATTCCACTTTCTCTCTCTCTCTCTCTCTCTCTTTTTTTTTTTTTTTTATTAGGAAAATAAAAGAGACTTTGAAATATTAAGAGAGAGTGGGATTAGAGCCCTCTCCTGCTACCCCAGTCTTTCCTCCCCTATTAATTTCCACTTGATTAGAATTCTTTTTGAAGTATTTAAATATGGACAATAGGAAAAAGGGAGGGTGAAGTTATTGAATATCAGTTAAACTGTATTAATATAAGCTCAGTTCCAGCTTTTATATAGATACTTCATATATATGTATAGTTTCCACTAGGAATAAAGTAGATCTATCCCTCCTCCCCTACCTAAAGTAATTATGATTTAAAAAAAAACTATAATGAAACTCTTAAACTTTAATAGCCCATTTATAAATCCCCAGCTTAAAATTTAAATGCTTTAAAAAAAGTTTTAGAACTGTAGAAATTTGATTTTTTTCCCCTTTTTTTTTTTCCTCTCTTTTTTTCTTTTTCTTTTTTTTTTTTTTTAATGGAAGAGACACTTTCATACAGTAAAACTTTTGAAGCAGCGTTTCAGGAGCAGCCACTCCTTGGCCTTGGTGGCAGCTGGGGTGCAATGGGGCCAGGGAGGAGGCTGTGGGACTCTCTGTTGGTTAATGGAGGTGGAAGCAAGGTGGTCCTGATGGGCTCCCGAGGGCTGCAGAACCACTGCAGACTTCCAACTTCTCCATCCTCAGCACCCGTGGCTTGCCATTACACTGGGTATGATACAGAGGCCTCAAGATTTTCCTCCATTAAAATATGATGCTGGGATTGCTGACGGAGGATCTCAAGTCCCTGTAATAGTGCTGGGCATCCCCACCATGGTCATTTTGCACCTCTTGATGCCTCACCTGCCAGGATCCGAGCCATTCTTTGGAGGGGTTTCATTTATAAATCAGTCCTTTTATAAACCAGATTTAGATATCTCCATCCAGATTCATAAATCCTCTCAGCTAACCTTAGAACTGCAGTTTGATTTACAAACCATGACTTTTCGCATCAGATTCAACTCCCTGACTGACTTCCGTGGCGTTCGACTGGCTTCGAAGTCAGGAAATAGATTTACAAATCCTAAAACAGATTTACAAATCCTAAAACATAATCACTAGTCATGCCAGGAGGTTCTAAGCAATAATAATAATAATAATAATAACTACTGTTAATTTACAAATACTTCTTTGCATTAGGAATACAAGAGACTGATTTATAGCACAGGACTGCGAGGTCTTGTCACCTTTACGATAGGCTGCACAGATCCAGCTCTCACAATTAAATGCAAAACTCAGATCTATAAATCTCAGTTGGATGTTCCACCTCTAACTGAGCCTGACATCTAGTGAGCTCATAGACAATTGCTGACACCAGCTGCTGTACCCACGTGATGATCAAAAGTGGATGCTGCTACCCATGGGAGCACAACACCAACCATGCGAGGATGAGGGGCTGCAGTAGAAAACTCATGATGCTTAAGGAGATGAAAGTGGTTATCCGAGGAGAGGACGTATTTAGGAGCACGTGTTCCCCTGCCTGATGGGTTGTGGCACGTCCTCAGAAGATCTGTGTTCCACATCCTCCCTCTCCAAGCTGCAGCATTCTTCTATCCCATCTCCTGGGATGGGCTTAGCACTAAAGTAATCACAACTCGTGTTGCTGTGCTCTTAAAAATGCACTGGAAACGGTCCAGCTGGTATGTTTGGATTGATTGGCCCTGCTTAAAGAGGAAAGAAAAGAAATGTTGTATCTGCTTGAGAATAGTTTCTTACATAGCATTTTCCAAACGTCATGTTGTTTCTCTGAGGTGGTGGCCCTCTGTACCAGATACAAGACACGAACACTCTGTAATCCAGCCAAGATTTCTTTGCAAATGGTTACTAATGATGCAAACTTCCATCTTTCTTAATATTCTGGTGAGACTTAAAGGAAAAAACCTTGTCCACAACGTTAAAATGTTCTCAAGTATCATCTCAACTCAACCATTTCTTTTTCTCTATTTCCTCCTCTTCTTTTTCTTTCTTTTTTGTAGCCTTCAGTCTACCAGATATACATCATAAAGCAATGACTGTCACTAACTCATTTTCCTCTTCACAAGCACCTTTAGCAGAAAAATCAGCAGGTGTAAGCAGGTGTAAACACGAGGAATAAAAAGGCAGATAACAATGAAGATTTCATGGGCACTGACAGAAACGAGCATCCGAGCATAACTGTTGCAATTAAATGATGGGCAGCAATCCTCAGGTGACGTTTGGTAGACTGCTGAAAAGTGTATCCTGAGGATGGGGCAGGAACCTGAGAATCTGGAAGAGGCCAGAGGAGGCGAACATCAGCAGGAAGCTTGGTCTTGTTTGTTAGAGAGAAACCAGTGGGTCAGCAGTTGGTCTAGATGGCGTCGGTGATCATTTCCAACCTTCAGGATTCTATGAAACTATCAGTTCTTGGAATTAAATCCCTCCACCTTCCAATCCTCTGACGTAGGCCTTCACTGAAGAAAGGGTTTAACTTGTGGGTGAGAGTTTTTATATGTTCTGCAACCTCTTGTGCTGGCTGTGCTGGTAGCTCAGGCTGTCTTAGGGAAACTGGTGGGACCTGAATTGGGGAGCAATGCCAAGATCCTCCTCACCCCCTCTTTCAACAGGATGTTGCATGTTCTGCTCTTATTCCATTCCTGTTTTCCATCTTATTCTTATTCCTTATTCCATCAAATAAATAACTGTTTGTTTTCCTACTGAAGAAGGATGTGGCACTAATGTTGCCCTGGCCCAAACCTCACCCAGATGTGAGGACAACAAGTGTCCAACTGGGTCCGATTTCCTTCCTCCCATTGAGAAGCACAAGAAAATGCCATTTCCACTCTCCCTCTCCAGAGAGATCTCCTCACTAACATTATTACGCTTTCTCCAGACACCTCCTCCTCCACTTGCCCTCAGGAGCTGCTAATAATAATATTGCAAACCCCGTAATAAATATTGTGATGGCTGCCTAACAGGCAGTCGAAAGAGGCTGAGGATAAATATTAAAAAAAAAAAAAAAAGAGAGAGAGTTTTCCATTTATCTGTGCTCGTATGTGCGTGCAGGAGAGAGGGAGAGAGAAAAGAGTTAGCTATTAAAGATCCTGCATAGCCACGGGCAAATTCAAGCGCCGTTGTCTCCTTGCAGAGACCTTTTTCTTAAAGCAGAGATTACTCTGGCGGTTCAAGGTGCTATCGAGCTCTAACCAGGGACAATTACAAGGCTCCAGTTGGAGCATCTGAGACGATGCTTACGTCTGATAAGGTTGAAGGGGAATAATGGAAGGAGGGAAATGATAATGGACTGCTGAATGGGTGGGTTGAGGTATCATTGCCGTAGAGCCTGGAGACAGAAGCGGTTGCTGATGCAGAGAGGGTTGGTAGGGATTTTTTTTTATTGTTTTCCCCCTTTTTGTTTCTATTTTCCTTACATAAGAGAAGAAAAAAAAAAAAGGAATATCTCTGAACATACATTTCAGAATGTTTTCTTTTTTCTCCTAACCCTGAGCAACATTAATACTACTACCCACCAACAAGTTTCAAGCTGTGGGAGCATTCATAAAACAAGGCTGCGTGCCTTGCCTTTCACGTTGCTCAGGTCAAGAGGTTCAAGGAGCATTTTTCTTTTTCCTGTCCATCAGCACTTCACCGAGCACCAGGCAGCACCCTGTGGCTGCTCTCAGATTACCAAAGTCTGAACATCCCAACACCACGTGCCCAACCTCAGCTCCGGACCATCTCTCACACCCCATATCCCTCCTCTCCTTTTCTGGTCCATTCTCATCCACCTGTGGGCCTTCATAAAACAAGCATTGCTGGTAGACCACAGAAAGCACCAGTGAAGTTTTCATTACATTTCATTACTTGATTCAGAGTGGACTGCGAGTCAGAAATGTCCATTTGTCTGTGTAGACTCTAACATGAGCCTAAGCAAAGGGTTCAGACATAAACAAGTACTCTGTTCACCTCTAAAGGCAATGAGATCACCCCAACTTTGAAATGTAATTCACTTTCCTCCTAGGTTTTAAGTGAGTAGAGTTCTGGGTTTTCTAGTTTCTCCATCAAAGAGCATTGAGTTTGGAGTAGTCAGATGACACTGGGATCTGGGGCTAGAAGGCAGCAAGGACAAGCTGAGAGAAGAACGAACAACGATAACATTACAGACTTCACAACATGTTTGCATTATAAAAGGCACATCCCTCACCATGTCCCATGTGCTCAGGCTGCACTGCAAGGTGTGGAGGTGATCCAGCAGCTCAGAAGGTTGCTTCCACTTGTGGGTCCTCAGTTCCTCAACACTTGGGAGTGCAGGAATCAGGGTGGACAAACCCTGTGACTCTTACAGCATCACTGATGGAGACTTTGGAGCACTCAGAGTGCCCTCACAGGTTAGGAAGCCCAATGGACAGACCACCCTGGGGGACAGCACGAGTTTGTGTATGCAGAGCCATTGGCAGCCCTTAAGCAGATCTTTGGTGGGAAACAAAGGTCCTTGAAAGCTGAGTCTTCAAGAGGGTCTGAAAGCACAATAAGCACTGGGAGGAGCTGGAGAGAAGAGATGAGCATGAAATGCATCCAGAGACAACCAGACACCTATGGCACATCCTTACAGTGGACACATAGGAAGGACAACATGCCAAGCCACGTACATTTCAGGTTGAATAAAAGGAAAATGCTCAGAGGGTGGTGGGCATGGAACAAGGACAGTGGGCACAGCCCTGATCTGCTGGAGTTCAAGGAGCATTTGGACACCTCTCCGATGTAGGGTCGGAGTTTGGGGTGGCCTGTATGGAGCCAGGGGTTGAACTCGGTGAGCCCTGAGGTTCCCTTCCAACTCTGAATATTCTACAAATCCACGATTTCCTTTCCTTAACTGAAACATGAAGAAGGAGAAAGCTGGTGTCACAACAGTTGAAAATACTTTGTGTTTCTTTCCTTGCTACTTCCATTTTCTCTTTCTCTGTGCCGCATTTCTCACCTTGAGCCTTCGGGTGAGCTGAGAGCACAGATCTCAATAGTTTAAGGAGCCCCAAATTTTAGTGAGCTTCCCACAAGCCTTCCTGTTCCTCTCCTGCAGTGCCTTGTCAGAGAAACAGGCAGGAGAAAAGAGCAGGAAATAGATGGGGAAATGTCTTTGTGCTCCCTGCCATTGTAGCGGGCTAAAATAAAGAAGCTGCTATGTGATGCCAGGGGAAAGGAGATGATATCTGTCCAGGTTATACCCTGGATACTAAATCCAAAAGCATTTCAAGCAAGATCAGTTGGCTTTAAAAAAAAAAAAAAAAAAAAAAAAAAAGTTGATTTTCTTTCCAGCTCTTGGAAGTGAATCTATTTGGTGTCAGGCTGAAAGAAGACAGCGTGTAAGTAACTGAGAAAGTGTTTACTCAGTGAATTAGTTCAGCTTTCATTGTGCGGAGAGGATTATGGCCTCAGCAGTGGATGAGCTCCATTTCAGGCTGGAGTGGCTCACTTAACTACCTCCAGGGCAGGACTAATTATCATAGGACTTAGGCCATTAAAGGGCTTTAACTACCAGTGCTCTCTCCCAGGTCTGGATTAACTGTTTGCCTGGAGCAAACTGCCTGGATAACCATTGAGCCTAATGGTCTGCTTTGATTCCTCTGCCCCCGCTGCCCACCCCTTTCGCCTTTAAACTTCACATTATTGGCAGATCTGGAACAATAGCTAAGAATATTACTACCATTGCAGCAAAACGACAACGGGGTTTTGTTATAGGGCTGGTTTGTAGTTGTTTGGTTCCCCCCCCCCCCTTTTCTTTTGCTTGATCACTGCTGAGGAAACGTAAGGAAGTGCTGTTAACCATGGCAAAAGGTCCTTACCTGGCTCAGGTGAATTGAGAGGGGCTGCTTCAAAGGCTTGACCCCCAAGGGAAAACACAGGCATGCTCACGGAGCTGGGATCTGTCCTACTCTGCTGTCTACACGACAGTAATCGTGGCAGAAGTCACTCTGCATAGAAATAGCAAAAGCCTGCTGTGCCCCAAGGTGTCAGATAGCCAAGACCAGAGATGAGAGGGAGCAGAAGAAGAGGTTGGAGTACAGCGGGTTTCAATAAATGGTTTGCCCAAGGAAACAGATGGAGGCTGTGGCAGAGGCCGCTCTGCTTCTTCTCATTAACAAAAGGTTTGAAAAATTATTTAGTGGCCCTCCTGAAACAGCGGGCTTCTCATCCCTCCCAGGGTGCCATCACATCTGGGTTGGCAGCAAACTCTTTGCTCTTCATTCCTGAGTAAGATTCTGAGATTTCTTGTCCACCTTCTACATTTTTTTTTTGGTGAGTTTCTTCTTTTCTTTTTTTTTGGGGGGGGGGAGGAAAGGAGTAAGGAAATACCATTTAATGCCAGTCCCCATGCTGAACGCACAAGGCCCAACGTGGCAATCATTTAAGTGTGCAGATGACCTTATTCATCTGAGTAACTTGGCTGTTTGGGGAAGAGAGTTGGTCCAGTCAAAGCCCATAACATCCACGGCAGCACAGATTAAAAGCTGAAAAGCTTATCTGTGCTTCTCCACGTATTTATGTCCTTGGCAAATACATAAATAAAACAGATATCTGTGCAAAAACAATGTATAAAAATCAGGATGATTCTTGTGGCACTTCTCTTCCTGCTGTTATTAAACCAGCACAGTGTGCACAGAAACATGATGTGCGTACAGCAGGAGACGGCCCTGACCCAAATGAGCAACACTTACAGGTGGCTGCTTCCTGTGTTCAGAGCCTGCTCGAAGTTAGGAAGCTTGCATGCTCAAAATACCAAGACAGATCTAAAATCGTTGATCTAAGATCATTGTTGGCCCAGAAAAAGATGCTTGGGCCAACAACAGAGCAAAGCCTGCACAGATTAAATCCAGTTGGGATTGCCTGAGTGGAGAAAAAGCTCTGCAGCCAGGTCTTGCTGATGATGTGACCTTGAGCCTTGCCAAGCCCAGGCACCAGCTCTGCTCTGTTGGGATCTTTCTTCTCTTCTTGTTCTTGGCACGTGGCATTGCATGGCAGTGCCTGTCCAGCGATGGGCTTTTCTTCTTCCATGCTTTTCTCCATCCCTTTGTGCACAGTCTTTACTGACTTACTAGGTTATGCATTTTGTAGCCCAGCTGACAGCTTTCACAGCATTTTTCAGAGCTCAGGAGTCTGTTGTAAGATGGCCAAAATCGCATTCCGCTGCTTCGTCTATATGGAAATTGTATAATTTCTGCTTTCCTCTGATCTCTTACTCTGAGGATAATGGGGTTTGGTACTTTCCCTTCTTGCCCCTGCTGCAGGTGTGAACTAGCATATGAGACAAACTGCTTGCTGGAGTGCAAGTTATTTGTTGTTTGCAGATGAACGGAGGTGGTTTTCATTTCCTGTGATTCTGAGCATTAAATTTTTCCCCCTCGTCATTTACCCATTGCATGACATCTTCTGCTTTCAACTCATTCATTCCTCGCCGTGTCTGAAACCCTTCACACTGGAGCCCATCGAGGAAAACATAACTGAAGGAATTCAGTGGGAAAAGAAGTTAAAAAAAAACAACAAACAACAGAGGCAGTTGAAACAGCAAACAAGTACCTTTGGAGAAAAGGCATTTCTCAGAGGAAAAGTAGAGCATCTGAGGATTTCCTTCTTGGTACCAAGGATACTCCAAGCCTGACAGAAATGTCTACCTGTGAAATCTATCAAGAAAGCCCTCAAAATGAAAATCAGGACTGCAGTAATCGAGGAGTGAATGAATCAGCCCCGTCCTCAGTAGGAGAGCACCAAGAGGCACTTTCAGAGGCAGCAGCTCTCTTACTGTGTGCCTGTTCATCAGGGCAAGACCCTGTCCTGCTCTGTAATAGGAAGGATGCCTGTGGTGCGACAGGAACCCCCGTGCTAAGACCAGGAAAGCACGTACTGGCACTTCTTTCCCTTATTTATGAAATGCAGCTTTCCCACCTTCCCTCAAAACTGCAATTAACTTGTAAACGTATGCTACAAAATTAATTTTCCACTCACTGCTGTTCTCGTGTAGCTAAGAGGAATTAGGTCAATAAAACACCAACGTGAGCTCTGATACGGCCCTCACAAGATCTGTCCTCATACAAAATCCTACAAAGCTAATGAACCTGGAGCAGGTCGTGCACAGGGAGCCCAGGATCTAAAGGGAGTGCAAACCAACCCCCTTGGAGATGCTCCACCCAAAGGTTTTTGTGTTCCTATACACATACCTCTGCATCAGAGAATCTTGAGTTTTCCACCACCTCTTGTGAACAGGGGTTCTTCCTGGCTGCAAGTGCAAGAACTTCATGCTGCAGATGCAGAAAACCTTGGTGGGAAGTATCTGAACATGCGATTGGTTAAGAGATGGGTTTTCCTGGAGGCTGATTCTACAGGAGACAGCTGTGCTGAGAAACAGGGAAAAGCTGCTTGAAACAAACAGCAACATTAACCGGCAACTGAAAACAGCTGCTCTAGAAAAATAGAAATAACCCGTTCCCCCCCACACACAATAGCATGTTATGGGAGAACAGCTAATCTTGTAGCATGGGCACAGAACTCAGCGCTGGGAGGAGATAACAAAGACCAAGGGGCTCTTGTGTTATGGGTCAGCTGCTGGCCCCCAGCTTTACGTCTTCTCAGCAGACACAACAGGCACTGTCACACAGTGTCACTATGCCTGCAAGAGATAAGCTCCTGGATGAAAAACAGCTGGCTGGAGCTCAAGCCAGGCAAGATGGAAATGATTCTTCTAGGAAAAAAAAAGAAAAAAGCCATTCAGGCCTTTTCTAAGACAGTGCTGGTGCTGTCTTCTCACTTGCATGGGGAGAGGAATGCCAGTGGTCTGGGGCTGCACTGCTCAGCCCATCCCAGGCACACTGCTCACTCTCCTGCTTTTCTTTCTGTATGTGAATTCTGGGAGGGCACAGTCTTTCACTGAGCCTGGGCTGAAATGCTGCTTCTCCAAGATGAGGCTTCCAGCACTCATCAAGGTGAGTTGCAATGAGCAGAGGATGACGATGAATTGGAGCTGATCTTATCTCCCAACCCAAACGTGAACCCATTTTGGAAGCACAGCATCTTCTATAGGAGAGGAGCCAAGAGATGTTTGGAATAGCAGAATATTTGGAAATTCAAGGAGGGAGACGTTCCATCCATTTTGACCCCTGAGCTTTTCCATCCTTACGAGCATTATCAACAGGGAGGGTGTTATTCCCCACGTGGAAGTATTAATTTATTGTGTTTTCATCTGGAATTAGACTTTCCCATCTCTCCTTCTTTCACAGCTTCCAAAATATCCTCCCATTCTAATCCCTAGTTTTCATCTCCCTGCCCAGGAAGGCTTTTTCACACACTTCCTTAGGAAACCAGGCAAAAACCAAAAAAAAAGGCACAAGCTGACTACCAAATAATCTACTTGCCAAATCAATAAATAGTGGAAAAGTCAGCTCTTAATACAATCCTTGCATTCAGAGTTAACACAGCAGTCACCTGGAATATGGAAATCCTTTCTGAAGTGTAGGTTAACCAACCAAACTTCAATTTCCTCTCTCCTTCATGGCTGCCTCTTCTTTCTCCTGTGTGCCCTTATTGAGATACGTGGGCTGTCTTTCCAGTGAGGCATTTGCAAGGTCTCAGCCTCATGCCCACGTGGAATAAAGGTCAAACCCCAAAGCCACAGAATTCCTCCTGAAACAGAATTCTCATTTTTTATCCGGCTCACACAGAGTAAAGGGTAAGAAGTCTCTTCACTGGCAGCTCCACAATACCTGCCTCCAAGGACACTTCCCTCCTAATCCCCAGTAACTGGAAGATTTTTTGTGCCCTGAAGCGTGAAGGTTTATGTCTCTTCCAGAGCGCTGGATGTTTTGTTTAACATTCAGAGCATTATGACTTCTAAAATAGCCCGTGTTCCCTTCCTGTGGATGCTTCAGCAGCTGAGATCTGCTGACTCAAACCTTTGGGCTGTGATGCAAACAAATTCCCTGGGGAAGCAAAGGTTCAAGGAGAAACTTTGTGCCTATCCAGTGGAACAGAGAAGAAGATGGGAGATTGGGTCACCTGGGCTGTCGGGCGTCCCCACCGCACCTCTGGGACAAAGAATGCTCACACAAGGAAGCCCATGGATTAGCTTATGTTGTCCTCATTGAGTGACCACAGATAACCTAATTTTTGCTCTCCTGAAGCGTGCGTGCCTCTATGAGGCTTAGAGGTTACTGTAATCAGGCACTGTGAGGAGGGAGAAAAGCAGCTTGGCCCCATGCTCCTGAGCTAGACCACTGGTTGGACGTCCCTCCACCAGCGGCTGATGTGAGCCATCTCAAATGCACGACTGCTGTGTGGTGACCCAGGCTACAACCTCTTAGAAAGCTGTTCTAATGTCTGTGACTCCCCACGCATTGCATTCTGCAGAAGAGCAAAGTTCTCAATGCCTTCCTTTGCCCACTCCTTTCGATGGCTGCATCCTCCAGCGGGGTCCATGGTTGGTGGATGGGGACCACAGTTTCTTAAAGTTGGGTTGCCAACATGAAGTCCGACACCTCCCTCACACAGACCCCCTCCCTCCTCTCACACAGAGCACATTCAACTTCTCAGTAGTACACAAAGAGATTTCAAGCATTTTACAGGAAAAGAAATGTGCTCTCTTGGATACGTATGAAATTGCCCGAGTCGGTGTGGGGAAATGGTGCGTTTTCTCCTCTTTGGACTTGCTCCTTCCTCCTTTTAACACGTGGAACAAATGCCTGCTTTGGACCGTGATGGGGTAACTTGGAGAGGTTGGCAGAATTGCTGCGGATGGACCCAGGGCCGGTTTTATTTTTCTATTGAACCTTGATGGAAACGCATGCACAGCAAGTCAGGGCCTGTCCCTTTTCCTTTCTCCTTTCTCTCTCTCTCTCTCCCTTTTTTTTTTTTTTTTTTTTTTTTATTTCTTCCAGGAGTGCTGATGATAAGAAAAGCAATGTCTAAATCTTCTTAATGGTGTTTATGCAAGCAGTTTTGCTTAGCTGCAGTCCCTGCCACCCCCTCCCCCGTCCACCCTCCCCTCCCATCTTCCTGCTAATATCGCTGCTTCATTCCTTTCCCTGTTGGCTATTACTATGGACTACAGCGAATCTAAAACTAAATAATCCCCTTAGTGTCAAGTTTTCTGGGCTGAGCAAATAAATCTAACCAAATGTATTATCTAGGTAGAGGAGGCTGTTGTAAGGGGGGAAAAAAGATAAAAGCTATTTTACTTTAAGGCAAAGAGTAAAGCCATCATTTTTCATTCGCATTGTACTTTTAAAGTTTTTTTTTTCCTTTTTTTTTCTTTTTTTTAATTTCATTTTAACTTTACTGTTCATTCCCTTTTCTCTTTTCGGTGTAATTAAAAATAAATAAATAAATGCAGCAAAGCTCTCTGATTTCGAGCATTAAGGAGACAGAGAAAGACCCCAGATAAGGTGCAATTCAAATCCCCCTCTCAGACGGGTAATTCTGATCAGGCAGCAAAACAGTCTAAATAAATAAACCCTTCTCCACTTTCCTTTCCCTGGGGGAGAAGGGCGAAGGATTTTAGAAAACTCATTTGCAGGAGGAATGGAAGATGTGAGTGTTGCAGGGCGAGGTGGAGAGGTCTGCCTGGCTTTGGGCTGCCTTGGGTTGGCTGCTCACGAGGGCAGGATGGCTTCCTTCAGGTGTGTGCATGCAGGTGTGTGTGGTGACAAAGAATGCTCATTTTTTGGTTTCTTTAAATCCAGGGCAGGTCCTCGGCCAGCAGAAGCCAACAGAGCTCTGTTGGGTTTGTACTACCAAAAATTTAGCCAGTGTTTTCCCCATAGCTGCCAGCATTCATGTGTGCAGCAGGTCTGCTCAGTTGCACCTTTCTCTCAGCCTTCCCATTTCCCAGTGCCTCCCCCAGACCTCCCCGTGCTCTGGGAAAAGGATGGAGGATCCTCAGCCTGGTGCAATTCCTGGCCACATAGACATCCACACACAGCAGAAATGAGCCAGTGCCAGCCCCACTTGTCTGAACTCATCCTTACCAATACTGGTTCTTTTAAAATGCAGACGGGATGAAGAAGATGCTTGGCCTGGCTTTTGCTAAATCAGAACCTGATTCACCCATTTCTGGACAGTCAAAGCTCACGTTGATGTACCTAAGTGAAAAACAAAGCAAATTGCTGACTTGGAGTCTGCTGTCTGGAAGAGCAGAAAGCTTTTGGGATATTGGAGCTAGATGCAGCAATAGAATGAGGTGCTGCTCTTTTCATGTGTGTTTTCTCCCTATTAATTCCTTTCTTTCCCACTCAAACTTCAGTTTTGGAATAATTTAGCTGACAACTTTTTCTCTCTGTATTGGGCTTTATCCCTGTATATACGCAATGTTCTTGACCAGTTTCCCCATCTCAGTAGCCAGCTGCGTAGGTGATCTGCTCCTATGATCCATTAATGCTTAAATTTATCTGCTTTCAGCTGGGAAAACATCACTGTTTGAAGCTCAACGCTTCTGTTTTACTATCCTTTTTTCTTTTCTGTTAAATCACCCTTATATTAATTAATTAAATAATTACTTAATTTCCCCCAGACCCCTCTGGTTTTAGCCATAAATCTGCATGGAAAAGAACAGAGGTTTTGTTCCATCAGTACTTGCAATAAATCTTCTCTGTAGAAATAAAACCTCAGGCACAAGTCAAGCTGAAAAAAAAATAATGTGGTAAAGAAAACTCCAGTGCATTTTTGAGATGAGGATCTGCAATAGACATTGCAAGCAGTCTCGAGCCAGCTATTGACCTTCTGCTGGCCAGCCTAGCAAGGACACCAGCTGAGGACCAGGTTCAATCAATTTGCAATACAATGGTGCAAGAATATTGCTCATTTTACTCTGATATTCTTTTAAACATCTGCACAAAGCTGCCCGCTTGGGTATGGATCAACTCCAGAAGCACTCAGAGAAAGAGCTGCACTCTTTGATAAACAAGGTGAAGGATGTTATCTGAAATGACAATGGATTACCTATGCCATAAGATATTATGCAATATTTTCAGTGGTCTTATGGCATCACCCAGTACGTCTGGAAAATACATCACATGGAATGAGATTTCATGTGCACATTATCTGTTATTTTCTGGCTGCAATTTCTGCCAATAATAACTATCATTTCTGGAACTTAGAGGAATGTCAAGTGGACTTCAGTAAGTTGCTGCTGACCTGAAAAGTTGTGCTACGTGGTTGCTGTAAATGTTGGGCATTGCCAGAAGGTTCTTCCATCTTCAAAACTTTTGTATGGTGGCCTGCTATGGAAATAGGCTTTTTTGGCTCCTCGTGGAAGTGTTTTGTCTGGAGCCCCCTCCTCAACATGTCTGTATCTCAGGAGATCCCTATGAAACAAGCAGTGACTTCTCAAAGACAGTTTTGATGGTGGATGTTACTCCGCTTG